CAGCTGGTTCGGGCCAATCCAGGGTTATCTAGGATCCTCTCTTATATGACCCGAACAATGGTATGTTTTATCCGTACAATAGGAGTGTATCGAAATGGGGTCCCCTGTCAGTTGATCGCACCCATATACATACCAGGTGGCCCATAAGTCAGGTACCAAAGTAGTTTTTTTTAATTTTTTCCTTGTTTTTCATTGTTTATGCCTGGTATTTATGGCATATATACTAGACATCATAAGCTAAAGATTCAGCATATAAATAATATCTGGACATCGTAATCTGTTCCAATGCGGACATATATAGGATGACTCTTTGAAACTAGGAACATACTTGACAGTTATAATTTTTACTGCTGTAATGTATGCTGTTATGTCTCGTCCGATGATACTCATGTATCTGCTAATGGTGGCATCTATCAGACAATGATACAAGTGCTTATCTCTTTCGTCGACTGATGCATTTTTTTCTGTTCTCTATACTATTTGTTTTTTGTACGGTTGTAACTGGGTATTTTTTCATACTCTTTTTTAATTATGAGTGGAGATTTTCACTTGTCATCGTCGGAAAGAATTGAAATTGTCAAATGGTATGCCATACACGAAAATGCAGCCGAAGTTGCTCGTCAGTTTCAATATCGTTATGACCAAACTCCTCCGTCACGAAAGCACATTTTGAACCTTGTACGAAAATTTGATGAAACCGGAAGTGCCCAAGACGCAATCATATCTGGACGACCTAGATCTGTTAATACCGAGGAGAACAAAGAACGTGTTCGTGCTGCTTTTCAAGAAAATCCTACAACATCATCGAGAAGAGCTGCTTTGGAGTTAAATCTGTCAAGAACCAGTCTCCAACGAATGATGAAAGAGCTAGGATTGAAACCATATCGACCTCAGCTCCTTCATGCGTTGCATGATGATGATCCCGATAGACGTTGTGAATTTGCCGAAATTTTTCTAAACTTGGTCGATGACGACCCTTCGTTACTTGACCGAATTTTTTGGACTGACGAATCCACCTTCAAGTTGAATGGGCATGTTAATCGGCATAATTGCGTTTATTATGCTACAGAAAATCCTCACATAGTGATCAGCCAAGTGATGAATGCTCCAGGTGTTATTGTATGGGCTGGTATTTGGTCTGGCGGTATTATCGGACCATTCTTCTTTCATGACACCGTTACTGCCGAGAGTTATCTTGAAAAACTGAATGATGAAATTTTTCCTGCTATTGAGAATCGAATGAATTTAGAAGAGACATTTTACATGCACGATGGAGCACCACCTCATTATGCGCAACCAGTTCGACAATTCTTGCATGAGACATTTCCTGATCGGTGGATTGGACGTCGTGGACCCATTGACTGGCCAGCGCGGTCGCCAGACTTAACACCGACTGATTTTTTCTTATGGCCAGTGATCAAAGACCGTGTCTATGCGACAAAGCCTCAGAATATTCAAGCACTTAATGATGCTATTACTACCGAAATGCAACGTTTGCCAGAAGATTTATGTCGAAGGGCTTGTCAATCAGTATCCGAAAGATTACACTTTGCAAAGACTTAGAGGGTGAAAACATTGAGCAATATTTGTGAATAGTTTCGAGCTGATGTGTTCCACAAAGATGCATTTTCTTGTGTCCTGTTTTCTAGTTCTGTTGCTTTAATAAAAGTTTTCTTAAAGCTCAAATATAATTCTTTTTTACTGATTATACTGTGTATGTCCGTTTTGGACCAGATTGCGACGTCCAGATGTTATTCATATGCTGAATCTTTAGCTTATGACATCTAGTATATATGCCATAAATACCAGGCATAAACAATGAAAAACAAGGAAAAAATTTAAAAAAAATACTTTGTTACCTGACTTATGAGCCACCCGGTATATATATATGTAAATATGTACGATCTTCACGTATATCCTTGATATACGTGGACAACTTTATTATGTAATCGTACCAAACAATTCGGAATACATAAAACGATATAGGTGAAATATATATGAGGGTAATTCCGTGGGGTTTATACCACTTTCCTGGAAAAGGTCTTGGATTTTGATTTTGATTTTCTAGTTTAACCGAAGACAGTCTGAAACGCATCAATCAAAAAAAAATTACGGACATGTCCAATTAATTTTGTGCGCCCGTCAAAAATACGAGGTACATCTATGATTGATCTATTGTAGTCAGATTTTGTTCCCTATTTGTGTTGCTGATCACTTGCAAACGAGTTTCCATCCTTTATCTAGCTTTTATACTTCGAAAAGAGTTGAAATCTATCAACTCAAATGAAATGTATTAAACACCTCCCAATAGAATTCATCATTGGTCTTTCGATTGGGTATTCGTAGAAACGTCTTTTCTTTTGTAGCGATAAATGAATTGAGATAAAAGAAAGTGTATGTTTGTTCTATTTTAACTGTGAATAATCCATCTCTTTTTCATGTAATTTAGATGAGATCAGCTCAAATACTTATCCAATCGAGACAGTAAGCTGATTCACTGAACCAATTTTTCATATGATTATAGTAACACTTAGAAATATAGACTACCTCGTACAAAACTACGACACTCTCACAAAATAGATACGTATTCCATATAGATATGTTCTTCTTCTTTGACTTGTTTAACTATATGAAAAAAGAGACAACAAGAAAAGAAATGATCTGAATGAAGATTTAGACGAAGCTTAAATGTCGAAGGAGATTGTGCCTGATTGAAGAGAGCTCGATGTTCGTCGATATTCAACTGATCTGTTGAAGTTGGCTTTGAATTCATGCATGCCGCGAATCCCTTTAATTGTACCTAGTAATCAAAGGAAAATAATTTACATGGTAGAATTATATCTTGCCAAACCTGTTGTTTTGAGAATGTTACTTCTTTCATGAATTATATCCATGCTAATCTGATTTACTTCCTTCGCTTCAAGGAAGAATACGTGAACCGATGGCTCATTCTTACCAGATGCTGCAGCTGTTTCCATCTGCTGTTTTCTTGAAAATTCATAGAAGTCTCGTGCAGACGAGAGAAGAATATTTTTCGAGAAGGTATGACGTCGAGCAGTTGACTTAAGTAAACCTCCCACACCGTCTCCAGCTCCTTTACCATGACCTGTTGCTGTATAAGTCCAACATGCGTCGATTCCAAAGTCTTCCTTGTGAAAAGCCAGGTTTAGTATGCTCAAATTGTTTTTGAAACAATTGGCTGCACCATCACTAGAATTGAACCAATATTTTATAATAATATTTTCATGACAATATTATTTAATCTCTACAAGTATTCCTTATTACACGTGAGCTTTTATTTCTTTTACAATTTGTTGGAAAACATTTTTGTTAGATTCTTTCTCACAAATTCGATTTTTTAAGATGCTGTAGCAATAAATACTAACCTCAAATAGTTAATTTTCTTTACTTGAGGAAACATATTTTTGACAAAGTTCAGGATTATTTGTTGACAACAATAAGCAAAAGCCGTGTCATGTTCTAAACGATCGCTAATAATCGCGAGATTTCGTTGTTCTTGACCAATGATAAGGTGGACGGTAAAAAGACTAGCCTGTTGATGAGAGAAAAATCCTTGTTGTACTTCGCGCTGTCGCACCAACGTATAATTCATTGAGAAATCGATTTGTGCTATGATAAACGACTTGTTGCTGGACTGTGCACGCAGTAGAGCAATGTATTCTCGCTGTTGACGATTGCAGTACGAATGAAGAAGAAACGAGGTCCATTGTTCGTCCATTTCGGTGAGAAGAGAATCAACAGAAGCATTCACTTTTTGTAAATCAAACTTGTTATTAACCTTCTTCCACACCATCCATGAGCAAATATCATCAAAATCAATATCGTCGCCGAAATCTTCGATGAAGACCTGCGTGAGACTTTTCTCCATAGAGCAAGAATCGCATTCATTTGCAAAACATTCTTCTGTTGGCTTATTGCACACAAGCCGGGTAGTAAGATCGTTCGTAGTATATTTGTGTGGTAGGGTTGTAAGCTTGCATTTCCGTTCAAGATAACTATTCCATGCCTGCAGTGCATTTAAGCAAATTATTTGATAATTAAAAATAGCTTTGGAAAGAAAGTAGATATAAGAACATACATACCTTCAAAACAAGATTCATATTCTCATGATACACACACATGCAAGTATCATGTGGCGAAGAAATTTTGACTTCTCGAGGTCGAAGAGAATAGAATGTTGATCGACTGACGGTGTTAGGAAATCGTTCTTGAAAGATGCGGAAAGCTTCAAGCACTGTCATCTCCATGAAGCGTAACGTTACTGAGTTCTTATTAATTTGAATAATATCCTTGGAATTAGAAGAGATTCGACTAATACCATCTTCTTTATAGAAGTTAACAACAGCTTCAATTATATTGTTTGACAAAGGCTTGTTGCCTGTCGAGTATTCAGGATAAACGAGAACACGATTTTGACGACGAAGTACGACAGCTTGACGAGCTTGATTTTCGGTGGACTGAAACCTGAAGAAAAGAGAAACGTAATATTATTTATTGATATCTACAAACGCTCACCAATTTTGAATCTTTTCACGACCCCATCGCTTAGGTGAAATAGTCATTATTCGAATTTGCTCGGAATCATCACTATCCTTGTATAGACTTTTCAAACCAGTTAACAATTCATTAGACTCTGATACAAGAATATTGTGAGGATTTGGATCATTCGAGTCCTCTTCCTTGCCTTCTAGTACATCACACAAGTGATGAAGATTTCTGTAAAGCTCATCAATTTGTTGACGAATTGGAGCCACATTTGATCTAGTAAAGTGCAATATATAGATCTGCAGTAATAATTAAATAAACTCACTGATCGTGTATAAGAGGCAAACCAAGAACTTGAAACATGCTTGTCAATTTATCCATTGCTTTTTCTTGCTTGTAACTGAGCTCGTATAAATTCTCATCTGAACTAGAACTTTCTCGGGAACTAGAGCTAGTTATACCATTCGATTCAGATGAAAAGTTTTCTTCATTGTTTTCGTCGTCGGTGCTATCTTCATCACTTTCAGTGTGTTCTGTTTTTTCCGAATCAACCAACTGAGTTTTCATTTGTTGACTTTGTCTCCATTCTTTTGTCTCGAATGTAAAACAATTGGGACACAGCCAACGTACATTCAAGTTCTGTATTTCATCACGCTTGCGCATGAATTTCAACAATTCAGATGAAACTGGATGACGTCCCTTCGGTAAATCGACGGAATCCACATGACGAAGATGATGTTGACAAGGTTTAGGCCGCGGCATGATATATTAAAGGAATATTAAATGTTATCAGACAGATCGAAAGACTGTTACAAGAAGAAAATTTTTAAATAATTTTTTTATTTGTTCAAATACTATCCAATAATAAATTTTGTTTCGTTAGCATAGTTGTCTCTATGAAGCACGCGTACTATTTTGTGAGAGAGTGTCGTAGTTTTGTACGAAGTAGTCTATATTTCTAAGTGTCACTATAATCATATGAAAAATTGGTTCAGTGAATCAGCTTACTGTCTCTATTGGATAAGTATTTGAGCTGATCTCATCTAAATTACATGAAAAAGAGATGGATCATTCACAGTTAAAATAGAACAAACATACACTTTCTTTTATCTCAATTCATTTATCGCTACAAAAGAAAAGACGTTTCTACGAATACCCAATCGAAAGACCAATGATGAATTCTATTGGGAGGTGTTTAATACATTTCATTTGAGTTGATAGATTTCAACTCTTTTCGAAGTATAAAAGCTAGATAAAGGATGGAAACTCGTTTGCAAGTGATCAGCAACACAAATAGGGAACAAAATCTGACTACAATAGATCAATCATAGATGTACCTCGTATTTTTGACGGGCGCACAAAATTAATTGGACATGTCCGTAATTTTTTTTTTGATTGATGCGTTTCAGACTGTCTTCGGTTAAACTAGAAAATCAAAATCAAAATCCAAGACCTTTTCCAAAATGCGGTATAAACCCCACGGAATCACCCATGAAGAACGAGAAAACAAGAGAACCAATTAAAGAATCAAAGAGATGAAAGAGAATAGAGGTTAACAATAAATAGTAAATATGTATACATGCGACATCGCTGTAACAGGGTTTTATAAAAATTGTCTAAAAAATTCATGAAACGTCAGGAAGTTTTCATACTTAGGATATATAAAGGGAGTACAAATATCTTGCAAATCACAACAAAACTATGAGCAAAGAAACTGGTTTCGGATTAGAAATGGAGATTTCTCATAGGGACCTCTAAGTTCTTTTACTTCATGAGTTCCGTTTGGGTCGCAGAATACCGAAAATAGCAAACAACATATGCGGCACGATAGGTAATGATGTATTCTATATTCCTACAGCGCAACATTGGATCCATCGATTTAAGAACAGGAACTTCGAACTCGTACATATTAAAGCAGCTCATTGAAGAAGAAGTGAGATCAATTACACGCTATCTAGCAGAGCGATTTGGATGCTATTGTATTGTTCTAGAAAAACATCTGAGTGAGTTAGACAAGACGTAGAAATATAGAGTTTGGATATCCCACCAATTGTCATCACTGCAGATTCAACGCAGGGTGGACGCATGTATGATACTACTGACTTCTCATCGTAACTACGAATGGCTCCGCAATCTTTTTATGGGCGATAGAAAGTGAGTGATTTATGTCAACCATACGTGCAAGCGACAATGGCGGGGAGTTGGACAAAGTAGCATAGCAACGCCAAAAGAAGGAGCTTCACCCAAGGACAGTTATGTTTAGCACTTGGTGGGACGTAGGAGGCGTAACTCATTGGAAGGTTCTGACAACTGCTAGCACTGTTACTGCTGATCTCTATAGTCAGCAATTCGACCGAGTTGTAGCAATACTCCGAGGAAAGTAGAATAAGGTTTACTTTTCCATGACAACGGCAAACCTCAGATTGTAAATTCGACGCATGGAAAAGTATTGGAGCTCGAATGGAAGGTGCTTCTACATCTACCATATTCTTCAGACTTGACTCATACTAACTACCATATGTTCTGTTCTCTTACCGATGACTTGGATGAAAAAATGTTTGACGAAGAAGACGACTTCAAAATGGACCTCGGCAACTTCTGCAGCTAAAGGTCCCAGGCATTTTGCGAACGACGGATTCTTTCTCTTTCAGAGCGGTGGCGACAAGTCATAGATAGTAATAGAGCAAAGATTATTAAAACTTAGCTGTATTTTTTAGTGAAAAAATAAAAATAAATTCTTTTTAAAAAAAGCAAAAATTTTTTCACTAATGTCCATTTCAGAGATAAATAGCCGTGGGTATTTTTCAAATAACTTTTGATAGGAATGAGATAGAGACGTGTGTTTTTCACTGTTGGAAAGAGCAGATGAAAATACATCAAACCATATATAGAAAGATTTTTCTAACGACTTTCCTAAAGGTTTTACATAAAACTTAAAGAAAAACAGCATGCCTCTCATGATTACGATATTAATTTATTGACTTTCAGGAGTGTACTAGAACCGCCAAATGTAAAGCTACAAAAAAACTATGGAAAGGCTCTATTTCTAACTACTACCAATAAGATATTCTAGCTATTGAAGTGCAATTTGCCACTGAGTTTTTCAACAAAATAGTCGAAAAATGAAGGTTTTCTATGGCATTTCGATAGAAAAATCACTTTTTTTTTAACGTAGGAGAAAAAAGGAATTCTTTGAAAACGTTTTGACTAAAACCTTCAAAAAGTTGTTAGAAAAATCTTTCTATATATGGTTCGATGCATTTTCATGTGTTCTTTCCAACGTGAAAACCACAAGTCTCTATTTCATTTCTATCAAAAGTTATTTGAAAAATACCCACGGCCATTTATCTCTGAAATGGACATTAGTAAGAAGTCTAGTACAGTACTTGTCGCACGAATTTTGCGCAGATTTTTGCGTACATATTCAACTTCTTTACTCTGTTCTCTGTTTACCTAATAACAATACGAAAATTATTATCATACACAATCAAAATTGATTTTATTCGGATTCATTCATTACTTGAAGATTATCAATATCATATTTTTTATCTTACTGTTTTTGTCAATCAACAAATATTAAATGGTGTGGGTGTGGCTGTGGCTGTGGCTGTGGGTGAGGGTGTGGGTCCTTCTCTTCAATGACACCCACACCCACACCCTCTCAGTATAAGTCTCAGCGCCATTGTGAGTTTGACAGTAATTCGTACTCACACTCTACTTTTATACAGACCGATGAGAGATCAAAGACGTATAAACACTTCTATATAAACAACGAAAATTTTATATCGAAAATGAAAACAGAGAGCTTTCAGCTTATATTGTCAAAAAAATACACTGATGTTGTATTCAAAATATTTGAATTAAAATCATCGGAGTCGATCAATAGGATGTCTGTATAAAAAAAGATTATTATTATCACAGTTTTTTATGCAACAAACTCGCAGGTGTCAATTTTATCAAACACTATATTCACATTGCTGATATTATTGCTTTACCGATAGAGTTCTTATAGACTTTTTATTTTACTGAGTTTGAAAAAAGATGTCCTTGGCCTTTACAACTTAATATTACGGACAGCAAAAATATCTACGAGTTACAGTATACTATCGTCTTATATTGATAATCATTACATTGTTTTCAACTATCTGATGAAAACTTCTTATACAATCAGATATTTACCACTTTTATAGGTATTCCATTACTATTTATAACGTATTTATATCAATTTGACCATAAATTCTGTTTGAAACTATTCTGTATCAAATTTCTTGAAGTGCATCAGATTTTGTTTAAGGATAATGTTGATAACCATCGTAAAAAACACTCGAAGATTAAAATTAATGTGCACATTTTATCAATTTAATAGTTAACAACCAAATAGTATGAAAATCATGATTTATAATTCTGCTTTCATCTCAAACAAGAGGTAAACTTTGTTTTATTGTTTTATTTCTGTGGAATGGCACAATAAAAGAAAGTAAGTAAAAATGATATAAAAATACAGCAGAATCTCTGCTAGTAACAAATTCATAAATGTGAGCATTTCCTTAATCTAAAAATTCCAAGCTTTTTACGGATCTTTTAGGCAATATAACCTCTCTAATGTGCATGAAGTAGAAAATAAGATTACCACACGAGACAACTTTACCGGAGAAATACAGCTGATTCATGATAGCAGTAATCATAATGATTTATCAGAACGTCAATTGGTTGAAACAGTGTGTTTTAATTGAAAAATCTTTCAATTGAAATTATTTATATAAAGATTTATAAACCGAAGAACAAGAAAATATACCTTTACGTACGAATAATGCAAAAATATAAATAAATGTCCTGGATTCTTTTCTTCATTTCATTGTAAATGGTGTCTCACTTTTCTATAGAGAACATTCTGGTATAATAAACGTTTTTGAAAAATCTTTTTATGAAGTTAGTTCGTAATCATTTGAATTTTTTCCTGGAAATTCAGTTTTAACATAGGAATATTTTGCATTGTAGTTTTTGTTTTCTGATATTGGTTCTAAAATCTGATCGATTTTGAAGAATCCAACAGTCTCTGATCAAGTTCCAATTGAACGTGGTCTAGATCTTCAAAATGCATTAGTTTGGATAGTAAATATCAAAGAATAGAACTGATTCTTCAACAAATGCCTATTTTTAAACTACACTCACCATTGTATGGTCTATACTTCAAATTCTTGTCATGTTTTAATGAGACTTTGTTAAGTTGTAACGAAATATATAAATGAGTATGCCTTTGTTTATCTCCTAGTATAAATTTTGTTAATGACTGTTAATTGTTTATTTTTTAAATAGTATAATGATGATTGTTAAATATTACTTTATTATTGTACTACTTGTTTTCATCAAGGGTAGTTTATCATCTAAGCCTAAATTTACATTTGATGAATTTTTTAACTATACTGCATTTTCATCTTTAATTCTTTCACCTGATAATGGCCAATCGATTCTCATTCAGACACAACATCATATATGGGATCGAGACATAAACGAAGAACATCTTCATATACAAACATTACGAGGCGGGAACAGAAAATTAATAACAAAACGTGCAAGTTATTTCAAACCTCAATGGAAAGGTGATTTAATTGCCCTAATATTAACAAGTAGTGCGACTAATCAAAATAAACAAGAAAAATTATTTAGTGAATCACAATATATTCATCTTTATTCGGTTCGTACGGATCAAATGATTCCTGTTTCAATAGGTAAAGAAGTCGTCCACGCATTCACATGGTCAACTACATCTGTAAGTCTTTACTTCGCAACTCGTACACCGTGGCCAGAAGAAGCTGAAGAGGCATATAAAAACGAATGGAAAGATGTTATTGAATATCGAGAACAACATCGAGGTTATACAATTTATCGGGCCGATATTGAAAACATGACCATAACCAAAATAGAACTACTGGCAAATATTTCATTTCGTGTAGCCGAATTGATTTGTTCTCCTGATGGAAAGAAACTACTATTTTCAACACGATCAAAATCATTGAACATGGAACGAATAACAGATTATGAGCTCTATTTTCTTGATTTGACGAATAATTTGCCATTACCTCCTTTAAGATTGACGAATAATGCAGTAGTTGAAATTAACCTGCAATGATCTACAAATGATCTACTCTTATTTATGGTTGATGGTGCAGGATCAGTTGAAGGCGCCTATGAAGATAGCCAGGGTCGAATTTATAGTTTAAATATGATTAATAACCGAATTCAACGTTGGGCACATGACTTTAAAGGACAAGTGTATGATTACGCTTTGTTACAAGGCGGAAAAGAAGGTGTTGTTTTACTCGGTCAATTGAGTACGGAAATACAAGTTTATACACAAATGTCAGTAAATGCAGAATTAATAAAACGAAATGGTTGGAATGGAAGCTATCAAAATATTGTGACTACTTCAAGTAGCAATAGTTCAACAATCGTTTTTATTCATTCATCCTACGATGCACCTCAAGAAGTTTATTTCATTGATAATATTGATCAATTGAATATAGCTCAAGCAGTTACCAGTGAAAATAAGCTATTTACTGAACGAAATCTACCCAAAGGCAAATCACATCGATGGTCAAATCCTGATGATCAAATGGAGATTGAAGGCGTTCTTTTGTATCCACCAGAACAATTTGAACAAAAAAATTTACCACTATTCGTGCTTATTCATGGTGGTCTCTATGAAGCAGACTTGAACATTTTTCGTGCCAGTTGGTATCGATGTGCCGTTATGATAGCTACTAAAGGATGGCTTGTTTTACAACCTAATTATCGTGGCTCACCTGGTACGTAAAATTTTGTGTAACCAAAAATATGTATATATGTATATATAATATTATGCGTTCATCTTTATTTAGGATACGGTGATGAATTTCTTAGAAGTATACGATTTCATATCCTTTCTAAACCAGGCAAAGACATTTTATATGGTGTGGATGCATTAGTAAGGGATGGTATTGCTGACTCCACAAGACTCGCCATTGGTGGATATAGCTATGGTGCCTATCTAACGGGTTGGCTTATTACTCAAACGACTCGATTCAATGCAGCTCTCTTTGGTGCAGGTGCCATTGAACATGTCGCTGATTGGGGATTGACTGATATACCCTTGTCAAGTATATATTACTTCGGTGGTTATCCATGGCAGACTTCTAATTTGTATCAAGAAGAAGCCGCTATATTTCAGTTAGATAAAGTTCGTACACCTACTCACATTGTAGTACCAGGTAATGATATTCGAGTCTCATCGACAGAGAATTATATATTAGAGCGAGCATTAAATGAAATTAACGTTCCAACAAAACTTATCGTCCTCCCAGGTGAACCTCATGGTCTTGGAAATAATCCATGGCACGAAAAAATCAAAATACGAGAAGAATTGAAATGGTTACGTCAATATGGCAATTTTTGTCTGTCTGCGTGTAATGATACTTCGCACTCTGCCACTTTCAACAAGCAAATGAATATTCATATATTGCTCTTTTTCATACTTTTTCTTTAGCTCATTTTGAAGATTTATAATAAAATGATTACACTAGGTAGACAGTCAGCGAATTGACAGGATGAAAATGAAAGTAATCTACAAAGCTCAATGTAGAATCTTGAAGAATTGTTGAAAAGCTATTTCAACGCGTTTGATTAACCCTTAAGCAGTTATTTCAGATGATTGATCCTTTTCAAGATCATCCATTGGAAATAACGAGTGAGTATTGTGCAAAAACTATATAGTTATCGAATAGACGTTTTTGTCTCATTAATCACTTTTATCATATGTTATATAATGTGATTTTCTCTTATACGGGTGTGGCTGTTGGTGTGGGAGTGTGGGTGGGATAAGAGAAGACCAATATCCACACCCACCCACACCCTTCTTTTTCGTTCTCTTTTTTTTCGAATAGGATACTTGCTGTAAGCAACACTATTCGCAAACAGAAAATTAACACCAGTAAATCTTGTTTCTTATGCTAGTAATAAATAGCTGTACTGTGTTAATTTTTATACTCGGAACATCCAGACATATGTTGAATATGCTGTTCGATGCTGGTTATTGTGATTACGTAATTTGGTCTACTGAGATATATATTATCATCAAATCAGAAGTTTTTTTTTGTTTAGTGTTGATCAGTTGCACTTCAAGCACTCATCGAATTTCTGCCCATAATTACACATGTTTTCGATTCTTTTCTTTCGTTGCTCAGGATATTAGATGTCTAATTTGACCAAGCACTTTACTTATAAGAAGGACTATCCAATATACAAGGTAATGCCAAAATCAAAGTGTATGGATGAAGGAGTTGACGTTTCAAGCATTGCATTATTCTGATCGCTTGTTTGTCTTCGGTCAAACCAAAAAAAGAAGGATGTGAGATGTATGTTGACTTGTTCTCACTTCATACACATTCACATGTGCATTCCCAACTATTAGTTTGTTTTGAATATCTTGGTGACACTGTCAATGTTTTTCTTCCTAGTATCAACATTTTTGATTGGGAACTTTTATATTATTGGTTCATATTAAGGTTTCATTAGAATTGGATCAGTTTTAAGACAAGTACATTCAGATTTCAAACATCGAATTCATTTTGCGAAGTTAAGCTACGGTCGAGCGAGTGTATATACTAAATAATTTTGTCGATACTTACTGTTACTTAGATTAATATTATGTTCTAACAGAAGCATTTCTGACTGTAAACATCTAATGGGAAAAGTACTACATTTATAACTAAATATGTGTGATTATATAAGGTTGCAAGTAGATATTTGCTGGACTACTGTTTGCGAAAATAACAACATAAAATATTGTTGTATAAGAAGATTTGGAATTTTCTAGTATATATTGGTTCTATATCGAGAGTCAATCGACAACATTTGTCTCGAGAGAAGGTTCATTCGCTGCATAAGAATACTATATCTCAAATTTTCCTTAAAAATTGAATATCGTATGTGAAACACGTTATTTAACATGATCTATTTCATAACTATTCTGTTCTGTTCTAATCTTGACATTTAATTTCATACAATTGGTTTATTCTTATTGGTCAATTATAGCCTTTCTCTGTAAACAAAGAACAAAAGTTACGTTGAATCCATGGTAGAGATAGATAAATCAATTGTAACATATTTAGCACGCAAGTACCGAAACTTATGATAAGATTAAGCAGCATACACTAACGAAAGCATCTACGAAGTTTTTTATCGTTCAAACTGTAGTGAATCGCACCAACACATTGGTATCCATACCTGCCATACCAAAATCGAGTCTATTTTTGAGCTTAACATTTTCACAAATGAAATAAACTATGTACTCTTGCTACTGATACGTGAATCCTAATCACGAATTGTTTGATCATACATTAATCTTCTTCTGATTTCTTGGATTAGTGCGCAACATGAATCAGAGTCTATATATAAGATAGTTTCACCTAAATTACAATAAAATTTTTAATGGTTTGCATGACATTTCCTTCTATTGTCTTCTTTGATTAATATCATCGTTATCTATCTATTTTAGACATGAAGCTAGTAAAACGACAAGAAAATGACATGGTTCAGAATTCTATTGATAATAAAAAACGAAAATTACAAAATGAAAGTAATATTTTATATTTGATAAAATTTGATTTTCTCCCATTCTTTTGTTTGCTTTAGTAACAACAATCGATAAATATCAGTTGAGGTTTTTTTAAATATCTATTCAATTATGTAAAAATAATTTCTCATTTGATTTAGATTTCGTTTTGAAAATTTAACGGATGGGATTCTTTATGAAATATTTGAATATCTTGATATGTATCATATTTATAAAGGATTTTTCAATCTTAATAAACGATTTAATGATTTACTTAATGATTCAAATTTTCTAATTAAAATCAATATTTTACCAATGTCAAAATCAAATTTTGAATCCTATAAGAAAAATATTGTTACACCAAATAGACAGCGCATTAATATATTTCGTTTATCGAATCAATTTATTGCTGAAAATATTTTTTCATCACCAAATATTATTTTACGATATATTAATCTTGAAATATTGATTCTTGAAAATATCGATGCCAAATATCTTGATAAAATTATTAATTATTTAATAGATTTACCTAAATTTTATTCATTAAGTCTTTCTATTGTTGATTATATTCAAACATTAGATCTTTTTGTTCAAATATTTCGTTTATCGAGATTAAAATATTGTAAGATTATTTATCAAAGAAAAATTATTCAACAATCATCATCTATCAAACGTAATAAATATAGTCGAAGTCCTATTCAATGTTTAATAATAAATGGTGATTTTCCATTGAGTTTATTGCATAATTTATTATCTTGTCTTCCTCAACTTCAGCATTTATTAATTAATTCTATTGTTAATTCGAATTATATAGAAAAAGAAGAATTCTTTCATATTCAATTAAAATATTTAAAAAAACTTTCTCTTAGATTGTACTATATTCAATTTGATAAATTTGAAAAAATAATAAAAAAATTCTTTCGTTCAATAGAAATTTTACGTCTGACAACATTTTTTGATGAAGCATATCTAAATGCTAAACGATGGGAAGAATTAATATTATCTTCTATGCCAAATTTACGAATATTTGATATATATCATGAAGGTTCTATACGAAATAATGATTTAACATATCATGATATAATAAATCAATTTAATTCATCATTTTGGTTCGAAAAAAAATGTTTTTTTTGCACATCAACATGATTCACAACAAAGATTAAATAGAGGAGTTTTTTTCTCTACAAATCCATATCGGTAGAAATCAATAGTAGTTTTATTAATTTAATTTCATGTTTTATTCTCTTTTAGAAGGAAAGATTTTACATTTTATTGGAAATCAGCTAAACAAATTTGTTCAAATATTTCAGAAATGAATTTTAATTCTGTTAAACATCTTTATGTCTATGGTGAATATGCAACACAAAATGATATAAATTATTTTCCAAATGTAACTCAATTGACTATTCAACATTATTTGAAACATTAGATGATTCAATTATAAAAATTCTGAATCGTATGATTCCATTAAAACAACTTACTAAATTAGTCACGGAACATTTTAATTTTTCATTTGAAGAACTCGTGAAATTCTTGCCTTTTACACCTAATTTATGTACGTTAAAATTAAATTATTTATCTGTGAAAAACATCAATTTAAATTTAATCAAAGAAAGTCAAATTTTTCAATACGTATCAAGTACAAATAAAATTAAAAATCTAGATCTTCGTGATTGTGATTCATTGAATCAAGTTCAATTGATTGTTAATTTATTTCCACGATTAGAGTCTCTTAAAATTGAAATGAATAAAAAAGAGATCGAAGAAATAATTAAATTTTTATTATCAAAATCTAATATTAAAACACAACATTTATTCTTATTATGCATTTCAAACGTATCGAGAATATATCCAAAACAATTAAAAGTTTTTATTAAATCAGAAAATTTACTTCAAGATTATCGTGTCGAATATCTTAATGAAGATATATATTTGTGGTGGTAAAAAAATTAGTTGTTTAAGATATATTTTGCTATTGTATATAATTAGTGATTAATTTTAAATAAATAGGATATCTAATTTCCAATAGATTTTTATTATTCTATTTTGATTTCATCATACAGGAAAAAAGAATGTAAGTTTTTGTTTCTTCTTGGCTCACCTCCTTCAACTTAGAAATTAAAGCTGTCAGAATAGAATATGAGATCAACAAAGAGTTTTGCATTCTTTTTCAAAATTGACGTAACACTGGGAGAAATAAAGAAATTTATGAAAAGTGATTTCGTTATTTTGATTGCAATGTTATATTGAGTTGATGGAAAGAAAATAATATACAAATACCTTCTTCTTTTTTATCTCCGAACTGTAACTATGATTTATAAGTAGTGTTATTTTGTTAATCTCTTTCATCATATATTTGTTCGGATTTGATATCAAGACTGGATTCTCATTTTAAAAATCTTCGTATTATTTTTCGTAGCTTGAATTCAGGAAGTAAAAATAATTAATTTAACACAAAGCTTATAATAGAGAGATATCTATTAGAAAATTTAACTAGACAATATTGTCAAAATATCGTGAAACACGGTTTGAACAATTTTAAAATCTCGATTGATCGTTCAATATCATACATCGCTCGATGTGCTTTGCTTCCAGTTGAATTATTTCGATACTTTTCTTCCATGATAGTTTCTATATATTTTTCTTTTTCTAACCATTTCTCTGTTGTTGACCATCGTTCGACCATTCCATAGAAACTGCTTACATCGATGATACGATAGTGTAAATAGTTATAAACAGTTGGCATCTGTAACCGAACAACCTCACGATCGTGATGAATCGAACTACCGGCCAACGGACAACTCTTTTCTGGACAGTGTCGTTTAATTAATTCCAATAATTGATTTTCCATTTCTTCTTTCGTTGTTTTCGATGCCAAAATATCATCAAACAAGCCATTTCCACCTAGGAAAAATGACGAGCAAACAAATGACATTGCAATCAAATCGAATTAACGAAAAGAATCATGTTTACAATATACTGTACCTTCACTTCTGCTTTTGAAATTTTTTTGATGAAAATCAGATAATTTATCCAATTCAATTTTTTCATAGTGAATAATCCAATGACCACGTTCAAGTTCATTCAAATTTTTGTCTGTAATAATCACAGCACATTCCAATATATAAGGATCATCCAAAGATGTCAACTCTAAAAGATATTTAGAAGTATATCTGATAATGCACAAAGGTGAATAACATGCGCAAATATTCAAAATTAACATTAACTTTCTGAAACAAATTTTTTCATTATCAGCATTATCTTGACTAGTTTGTCCTTATTAGAAAGATAATCTTTTTGATCACTATCGATCTTACCTGTGTCTAGCCAAATAATATTCATCATGCTCTCTCTTTTTCGTTCTAAATCATCAACTGACTCGTCATAATTATTTTTTATGGTTTTATTTGCTTGCAATTCCTTTAAAAGTTCACCAATATTAGGTTTTCGATACCAGTAAGCTAAATGCAGTGGTGTGTTTCCGTCTGATTCACGCTTGAGATTGATATCAAAATTCAATTCCTTCACTGCGTATTCGATTGTTTTCAAGAGACCCAAAAGAACAAACTCGTGTATCAAGCAGTTCTTTTGTCTTGATTGCGGTATGGGCCATTGTTGAACCTCGTCTAGACCAAAGTCTTTTACAATGCATTCAAGAGTAACAATGATTGCTTGTTCATCATCGATTTTCATTGATAATAAAGATTGAAGTCGATCATTAAGCGTTCCGACTGCGTTCGTCATTGAATCTTCAGTGTTTTATTTAATTCAAAATATTGTGTTAGAAGAATAAAAGAATTTTCTTGATTTACTTAAATCCAAATATGAAAAAGAATGACAAAATGACTTAGCATATCCAAAGTAATATCGATGAGATGAGTCGATGAAAAGTTTATCAACATTCATCAATTTAAATAAAATTTAATGAAGTTCAAACTCATGTATTTTTACATTCTAATCATACGATTCTATTACACTATACAGATTTTATGTTCATTACCATAACGATTTGTTCTCAGTTTCTCCATCAAGTCTTTTTCCTAGATAAGTATTTTTCTTTAGAATGTTCAACACATTCATGATCGTTTGGGGGTGTTCATATTCGAGAATTTTTTTCTGCTACTTCTCTGTTTTGTAGTCGGTTCATATCACTTCTAACACTGTTTAAAAAACGTACCAATAATTAACGGATACGGCAGAATAAATGACGATCTCACTATTTTCGCTATTCCGAAGCAATTTTTTTACCAAAAGATTCAGCGTTTCATTCTCTACACAAGTGTATATTTCTACTACGGAAAAAAGCTTCGTCGTTTTTTGATACGCAATAAAAAAGAGTATCCGAATATATGGAATTTTTCAGCCGAAGTTATTTTCGATTTTAATCTATTCCCATTTGTTATAGGCTTAATTTGACTTATATTCAATAATCTGACTAACTTATGTATTGATCATTGGAATATCAATGATACTTAACAATATAAGGAAAAAAACTGTCAATTATCCATCCGTTGCTCTCATGCTTATTTGTGATTACGCAACTGATCTCCAAAATTCTTATTTATCTTATTTTCATAAACAAGGCGAATAAGAAGTTTAACAATGATTGAAGATTCAGGCATGATAACACAAACTCATATGCGATCATTTAATTCAATAATGGTTGCATGACAGTTTTGCACCTGATACTGATAAGCATCATTGATATTCGAATGATCAATGCATAAATTAGTCAGATTATTGAATCTAAGTCAAATTAAGCCTATAACGAATGGGAATGGATTACAATCGAAAATAACCTCTGCTGAAAAGTTGCATATATTCGGATACTCTTTTTTATCGCATATCAAAAAAATGACGAAGCATTTTTCCGTAATAGAAATGTACAGTTTTGTAAAGAACTAAACACTGAAGCCTTTTGTAAAACATTTGTTTCGAAATGGCAAAACTAGACTAAGATATGGAAAAAATAGTGAGCCCGCCATTTATTCTGCCGCATGCATTAATAAAAAAAAGTATTATTACTGAAATAGATGAAATAACATGTTCAATATCATGAGTAAGTAACTCTCATCACTATAAGCCAAGATAGATCAGCAAACAACAACAACAACAGTATGAACTAGTGATACGGTCTCAGGAATATTGGTATCTAAAACAATGTTGAATGTTAAAATATCTGTATTTCTCATTTTGAATGTAGAGTTTTTCTTTGTCACTTGTTATTCAAAAAGATATAATATTGGTTAGAAATTGAACTGATGAAGTAAGAGAGAAGAAGGTATATAAATAATCAGAGGTCTATAGATGTCAGCGACGGCTGACTATGGATCAAGAATTTTCTATATTATCGATCGTTTGGTGAGTGAGTGTGGCTGCTGAGATTTTTCAGAAAAATCGGCGGTGACTTACACCTGTAGATACAGACTACGCCCCGCATTTGAGCAGGCAAACCCATTCGATTTCACTCGCTTGGACTTAAGACTCACTGTTTGAGGAGTCATCTGCCGTTTAGAAAAAAACAGGTGCTTGATCGATCTAAATTAACATTTTCAAGTCTAAGCGATTAGATCGGAGCATGCTTGTTTGTTGGTCGGCAACATTTAAGCCCTGTTGCCAGTTAACATAAGAACACCTCAAGAGTGAAGAACTACCAGCTTGAACTTTAGTCGTAAAGGACAAAAATTAGCATAGAAGATGATAGTTTGAGAATAGTCTTGAGGAAGATAAATGGTTAATGATGTAAGAAAGCGATTAAGACAAACATTACAAGTGGATGATTAGAAATCGGATATGAATACAATATGGATTATTTAAATTACTTCTGGAAGCAGCAGATCAAATAAAAAAAGATACATTTCTACAGCGCTTTATGAAGTTCAGTTTCAAGCAATACTTATCAATAATACTATTACTGTTACGAATGGCACCTCTGCACACTGTTGATTGAAGTTAGTTTTCTTGCTTTTCTGAGTTGAAAAAAAAAACTGCAATAAGGCTAAATATTCTTACAATTTCTTCTGATACTTCTCATGCCTAACAATCTTTTTCCGAGAGAGGAAGAAAAGAAGAATCGGCAAATCAAAAATTATTATTTTCCGAAAGCTTATCTGTGCTATGTTTACTTTATAATGAATGTATTGATAAAATTTTTTCTCTAACGTTTGTTTCTGCTCGGGTCGGCACTGACAAGAACTTTGTTATTTTTGTAATTCATTTATTGGCCTATTATTAATCTACTTCAAGACAAAAACACAAAAAAAGCGCTTCAAAGTCTGAAAGAAACTATGGGAGTATAGTTCTTTTTGTTTGTCGTTCTTGCCGAACAAAGATTATTTGCATAGGTTGTAATAATCAAAACTCAGGCGTGGGTGTAGGTGAGGAAACAGATCTTCTTCTCACCCACATTCACATTCCAAACAGTACTGAGTCTTTGAAGAACGTTTCTCTTTCTTGTTGTTTGTTTTAGATTATGCGCGTGGTATAGAAATAATTTATATGTGATCTAAAAAAAAGAGAAAGAATGCCTGTTGTTTGACAAAAAGAAGTTTTCATTTCGCACCTGTTTGTTGAAAATAAACTGAACTGACACTGTAGGCATATTACTGAATAAAGTTTAAAATGCTAATTTTGTTTTTCAAAAATGAGTGCTAAGTTCATCTCGAACTGGTTTCCACCTTTAGTTTAACACAAGCACAATACAAACGCAACTATACTATATCAAGTGTACTTGACAATTTTCAACTTTAGTCACCTATAAATGCTAATATGAGCAAATCAATATCAAGCAATTGTTCGAACGAAAATAAAATCCAGACGGAGCGCTCACATCTGCTTCATTTGCAAAATTTATCGAGCGACACGGCTGCACAAGTATAAGTCATAATGATCCTTGTTGTACGGGCTGATTTGCGGGCACAGTGTTCATCTCTGATGTAGGTGGT